ATTAACTTGGAATTATTTACAACTTAGAATTAGCATTAAACAATCCTAGCGTTACATTAATATTAGTCTACATTAGCCCTAGCCATACCAATATTATAGATTAAGCTTATATTAATATTAGACCTAACTATTTTGGAATTATTTATAACCTTACATTAATATTAGTAATATTTGATACTCGTATATATTTAAGAACTCCTGAACTTTGGAACTTTGGACTGTTTAACAACAACAAACATATGAAACATATGTATGAACTGCGGGTATGAAACGTATATGTGCACATATACGTTTCATAACCGCAGTTCATACATATGTTTCATATGTCTGTTGTTGTTTGATTTATCAAGCTAACTGATAAGTATCGAGAATAGAAAGAATTACAAAAGTACAATACAAGACGATACAATATTATAATATAATACTTTACTGACAAATCCCCATGAGGGTTTTTCAGTGACAGTTTAAAGAAATAAAAATTAGTATTTAAGGCTAGCTAAAAGATGACAAAATGACTCATCGTAAGGAATCTTTCAAAAGATGCTCTCTCAAACTACGCTAAAATTATTTAGAGATTGGCTCAGATTTATTTCAGGGGGTAAATTATTCCTTATTTTAACAATTCTATAAGAAGAGGATCGCTGCCCTGTTTTTGTTTCGATAATGGAATATTTAATTGTGGGAAGTTCTATTCGCCCGCCCACTTATGTTACCTCTAGAGAAAAATTTGTTACTTAAATGGTCTTGGGCCATGCCCGTCATACATTTAAATACCATAACTGCATCTCTAAAATATAAATTGGTTTTTACTGAGAGCCACCTCAGTCTCTTTAACATTTGAGATACGTAGTCGTATATCTTATAATTAGTATCGCTAACTATGCGGGCAGAAAAAATTTGAACACTTTGCAACTTCCTAATGTTTGTATCAGTGATGTTAAACCAAACCAAAGAACAGTAGTACAATCTACTTAAAAAAACTAAAGCTTTTATGAATGTTATTCGTAAATCTTCCTTGAAGATATGTTTCACGCGACTAATCTGTTCTAATGCTGACATGCAAAAAGAGACTGTTTACAACCTAATTATTAAGGTCAAACTTTCACTTTACTTCTGCGAAAAAGACACAAAGTACATTATTTCAACGGGTAACTTGCAAGTTTTGACTTTACAAGTTGCAATGCTAATAAATGCTCTTGTTGTTCTTATTACACGCTGAAAATGCATGCCGTTATAGTGCTGATGTAGAGTCAATCATAATTTTCTCTTTAGCTATTGACCTTCAAACATTTTATCAATTTTTTCTCCCAGGTTTCCTTTTCAATTGACTTTGGATAGTCTATGTAGCTCCTGTTTTGAAGTTCCTTCGGCAATTTATTTCTGTCAACATCATCAAGTTTGACAACAACTAAGCTGTTATCATTTTTTTCCATGAGTCGGTGGAGGGCGTAATCTAGCTCAGATCCGCAGTAGTTACTATTGAAGAAATTAGTGGAGACAACAGCCACCGTTTTCTTGCACTTGTAAACGCTGTCAACCATATTTTTCCGAATAGGTATTCCAAGAGTGAAATCTCTGTAGTGTACACAGCACTTTAACCCATGCTTTTCCTCAAGAGTTGGAAGAAGGGTTTTTACTACCCACTCTGAGTCTTTTGAACTGTATATAATGAATGCATCGAACTCAAATTTCAGCTCTGAAAAATAATAAACGTAAACCTCGTAAATATCTGTGAGTTATAGTGTGCGACGTATTCACAAGGTCTTTCATAGTTCACACAAGAATATCAGGAAAATGTTATGCAGCTGTTTTCCCTGACAAGTGCAGGCGGACGAGAAAATGGGGGAAATGATAACAAGCTGTATTCCCTGAAAGCAGGTAGGCGAGAAGATGAGAGAAATGTTACGTCTATGACAATCACCAAGCGTCAATTGCCTGCATGCTAATTTGCTCTTTGTTACCAACCTCACCCATAAAACCATCATCGGAGACCGCTCGGATAAATAATCAAGCGAATAAAATACTGGTTTCGCTTCGATAAAATAGATTTTTGGACAGGCAAGAGTCGTTGGGCAGTTACTCTTACCAGACCAGTTCCACAGGCCATTTGGGTCAGGAAATGCTGAGCCTTGACTATGCAACTCACCATAACCGTCACTTTTCTCCTTTTATTACAAGTTAAGGTAATATTCAGGAAAGGAAACGCCTGTTTTCCGAGTAAAATCCGAGCTCAAGTCCGAGTCAAAATATCGAGTTACTGGCCAGCGGTATAATTTTCACTAAAAAAAGTTACCCAGAATGCCCCGTCAGTTATTTTTCCACGTTCTTCAAGATGGCTCCCTCGGGAGGGTCGGGACGTGAGTGCAGAAATTTTTTATTTAATGGCTTGTATCTTAATGTTTTCTTGTGTTATCAAATAACCTGCGGTGCTATACATGGATTTCCAGCCCAAAGAAAAGCCGCGACATCACACGTGAAAAAATACGATAATTTTTCATGTGTTTGATATAGCCAATCAGCTGCTGACACGTCACTCGCCTTTCGCCCCATTCTGTCATGTTCATGACTGGCAAATCCCTCGCCATTCTCAATTCAAGGTCGTTTGTCGATATATTCTTGGGTTGCGGCAGCTAAAACACTGAAAAACTCGTATCACCCACAGACAGTTACGCTCAGAATTTTCTAGAAGGGGAAGAAAACCAAAGTACGAAAAGAAAATATGAACGTTACCTACTTAGTGTCTCTGGTAAAGACATTTCTCAGTGGTATTTTTTTTCATCTTGTTGTATTGGGAATTAATCACAAACCTGTCAAAGGATTCGCAAGCTTAGTACTTTTGTGTTTTTTATGTCGGCGGTAGTACCCAAAGGCTAATACCAAAGCCACAAATGATACACACGACGTTACAAAGACAGCTACAAGGATCATGGTGGTCCGGTTACCTGAAGGGATAAAAAAGATAACTTTGGTAAAAATTTCTCACCAATTAAGACACTAGATTGTCACTCAAACAAACTACAGTTTTGGGTTCGAACAGACCGACCACAGTCATGAAGGTTTTTTTAAATTTACATCATAATGGCTTACCATTTTCCCTTGGGTATGGCGGCTCTGTCTTCGCAGGACCCCTCGCAGTGCTGCTACTTTGCAGGCCTGCAACAAAGTATTGCATTCCGATATGTTAAACAGGCCCATGTTACCAATTTTTGACGGCATTCTCAAAATGCCCTTCAGTTGTCAGATTAACTCAGCATATGCTTTCTGTTAAGATATTTTGATTAAAGTGTCTCAAGATCTAACCTTAAACTTTCTTGTGGAGGAATGACCAGAATAGAAAGGAGACCAAGAAAGGTTTCATTTGCACGATTCAATGGACCGGCATTTACGTTCTCAATGACAGTCATGACAAAAAGGACGCTCTCTTGTTTACAAGACTTTTTCATGCTATACGAGTGTATCACCATCTGTATATAACTAAGAGCAATTAAATATCAACTAACCTGTTGGCGACATTGTTGTTATGTCTATAAGTAAGAGAAAGAAAAGGTAATAAAAGTAGCATGTCACTTCAAAAAGTATCAAGCATTAAACTAATATCGAATGCGCAGAACTTGTTTCCTGACAATATATCCTCATCAGTTTCTATTACCCTCGACTATGAAGAGGAGAGGAGGGATTGATCAAAGGTTTTTGTTTTGATCGGTAGGATGATATAGATTTTAAGCAAAAACAAGAAAACAACTAACTAGAGAGAAAACCAAGCAAGGTATGACTTAAATAGAAAAATTTACGATTCAATCAGCCACGATGTTAAAATATCCAAGAGAGCATCGATACACTCTTTTGTTTACTAGTCATTTTCACACTAAAAGAACATACCATGATCCGTACGTATATCAATAACAACTTGCCAAAGTTACTTAAGCGGCGCAACACTGAGCTCTCGTCATCAAACCATGGCACCCTACATCTTATATCAACTACTTTACACCGATTAGGAGTCAAGGCTCCAAACTTCACTTTTTCCAAATTTACTACGTTGATGTGTCCAACATTTTCATTTTCTGGTTAATAATCAACTGTGTCTGTCTCAATTAAGGTTACTTCCCACCTTCGTGGGTGTCCTTCGGGAAAAAAAAATTCGCACGGGCGCTAGTTTCAAGAAAACCCAGACAAACTATACACCAAAAGAAAGCTTAGTAAACGTAGTTTACGAAAAAAATATAATTTATGCGATTTTTTTCTTTAAGGGTGAGTCAGGAGCCAGTAAGGCGTGATATAACCGAGGATCCTTCAATTGAATTTATCGGGTATCAGATCCCGCACCACGAGCAAAATGGCTGCACAGTCTTATTCACAAGGCATCAACCAAGAAAAGAGTGTCAAGGTTTTCCGATTTTCTGATTGGTTGTTTAGTTATTCGCGTCTAAAGTTAGAGTAGCGTAAATATGCGAAACGTGTTGCGTTAATGGAGACCACCCGAAAAATATTTCAAATATCAACATTTTCTGAAACACTTTCGTTCGTAATTATCTTTGGAATATTTCGGCCAAATGTCACGAAAATCGATCAAATCTACACACCCTATAAATTCGCTTGAAGTGAATGTATTCCTCTAAAAATCAAATGCGCGATTTTAGCTCCTAAAGATTCGTAAACAACTAGCGCCACACCAAGAGATTACGGAACTTAAGCGCCGGTCGTTTTCAGGTCTGGTGCTTAAGTTCTCTATTATCTCGCCTCCTGAAACCGCGAACCAATGAGGAGACGAGATCTCCTGGCGTCAATCACAATGTATCACGACTTTTCCAGGAAAAGAGTCGCATGGCAGTCACGTTTTTTGATTTCGCTCTGCTGAACGTTGAGTAATGGGCAAAGTTGACAAAGAAAAAACCCGCAGCAAAAAAGCTAAAGCAGGAGAAACTGTTCAAACGCAAAACAGCGAGTCGACAGACAGCTGAAGGAATACCCTGATCGCTGAAATGAGTTCCCTCGGATAGTTCATTCATGATTTCATATGATAACAATGCCGGTACTTGCCTATTGAAAGGCAACTTCGTTTTTAACCTTATGTACGACAATTATAGATTTGATGGCGACTTTTTTGTTCGCAATTTGGGTGCTAGCGTGGAGAGGAGTGTCAGGACTGCTTTTTTCAGTTTTCCTGACAAAATGGTACCATTTATCTCTTCTTTGGGTCTGTTTTTTTTTTTTTTCTTTTCCTTTGCCTTAGAACTCCTATTTAATTTTGATTTATTTTTTTTATCCATGAGAAAGACTTTCCACTAGCAGAAAACTTCCGCGTGTGAATTTTGTCAAGTGCGCGATGTAAACAAAATATGAAAATATAATGAAATTGCCGCGAATATTCCCCAAAGGGGTTTGTCCATTTACGAGCTTCTGAGGCCTTCCTGATTTATTAACTTTTATTTGAAAATTCGTTTTCCTAAAAAGTCGGACACTTGAGATTTTTATTTTTTTCTTTTTGTAAGAGTAAGGTAAAATGTCTAACTTCAATCTAGTCCAATAAAAGAAAAAACGATTTTTTCAGCCTCTGAAGGTGGTAAGGTGACCCATCTACGTCGGTATAAAAATATTTGTAAAAACTCATTCTAAAGAATGTAAGCAAGTGTCCAAACCCTTCGGGTGTCATCTCCTCAAAGCATGTACGGAAAAGTTTGGATTCACAGTCTCAATTTTATGATCGCTTGCCTCATACTAACCTCGCTTATAACATCCATTGACGGCTGGAACTTTGCAGTCTACGAAAAAACCAAACCATATCATATTTGGCATGTATGGCAAATCAAGTAATTGAATGGAAGAAATTGTGGTTTTGACAATTTCCTTCATTGACATCGGTGTAAATGAACATTTGTTCACCTCAAAGCGAGTAAAACTCTATTTCTAAAGGGAAATTACTATCCCAAAGGTAGGCCCAGACACTGATATCCCGATAAATGCTCTAAAAACATTTTGCAGAAATTCCCATTTTTTTCCCTCCAAAAATCCCTGAATATCCCAGAATTTTTCTAAAAATCCCTTAATATCCTAAAATTTTATAAAAATTTGTATATATCTCCCATTTTTTTACAAGAAACCTTAGCTCTCCCTTAAAAAAAAAAGAAGACGGTGTTTTGTACGCTAGATAGCGCCCTTATTAAACAATGTTCCGTCTGATGCGAGGAGTGCAAAACTGCTAGCTCGTCTGTAAAAGTAAAAGCTTGCAAACTGAGACTCACGAACAAGTTTTGATTATATCATAGTTCGTGATGATAACAGGACATAAACGAGGCAATCCACTAGAGTTCTCGCATAGAATGTGAGTAGTCACAGAGTCCTAGACTCCTGGCTTGAAGTGTCTGATAAGGTAAAGCTAACACCCTAATAACGTGACGATTCTCAACGATTGTTTACTCGAAGAATCAGAGCTGCCTCGATATAATCTTTTAATGTGTCCTGCTATTGGTCACCAAACATTGTTACCAGCAACGAAAACACCCTCTCAGTGGCAGCAGATGATGGCTGTACAAGAGCGATTTTCAGTCTTGACACAAGAGACTCAGAGTGTCATTTCCGCAGCTTTATCTCTCCACCATTGTCAGGTGTTTGCAAGAGCATCAAAATTATCTGGGATGTTTCCTACTATCATCAGATATGGTGGAAGCTCATCCTTCAAGGGCTGGGTTGAGGAACGGCACAGCTCTGATTAACATCTGCAGCAACTGGCTTCGATATCTTGACAACTCATGGGTTGAACAAACGCGCTGCTTCATATACCCCGGATGGAAAGGGAGACGATAGCATCATTGGCAGATGTTTCCAGATAGTATTGGAATGATGGTAAGCATTAGAAATAGGAAACACTGCACAATTTTCTTGCTGTCCAAAAATCCCCCACGAATTCCCTTTTTATTTCATAAAATTCTAATTTTTTTATTAAAAGATCCTGATGTTCCAAAACTCCTAAAAAAAGTCAGGCTTTCTATTTTTAGGCCTACTATAAGGTATGATTAAATGTCTTCAATATCACAAGTTGATGTCTAGTCTACGGTGCATGATGATGTATAAAAGCAAACTGTACCTAAAGGCGAACAATTCAAGCCTAACAATTCAAAAGCGTGCTATCGTCTGCAAGAGCGGAATGATAGCTGCTTCTGTCGCAGAGGGGAATGATCAACGCTGAAAGGGGCACAAATTTGAAGTTAACTCCCTTTTTAAAAGAAATATGGAAATTTGTGTCGGGTCGCCAACACACCATAGCCTCACACTACCAAAAGAGCCGTTGGGCATTTTATTGGAATCTTGTCTCTATGTTGTCTCTATCCCTTTAACTATTTCTTTATTACACCATTTACAACTGCTGTTGCTTTATGATAACTTCCGCTATTCCTTTATATCAATCCTTCACGGGTGTTTCGATACTTGTTCGTTGAAAAAAAATGCGAGAGTAAAAATAATTATGATAATAATAATGATGATGATGTTGATAATGATAACAATAAAGAAAACAATAATAATCATTATTATATAGCTGGCTGTGCCCGCGGTCAAGATGAAGCGAATCCAGTGTTCTGATTGGTTACCCAAGCGGGCAAGATGGCTCGAGACTGCCTGCTTTGATCCTGCGCAAGAAAAAAATTGTGTAGAGCGGACTTACAGAATTCGTAACTTTTGGACAATGTCAGCAACGAAGTCGCAAATAGCGGCAGAAGACAGTCAAAACAAAACGACAATCTTAGGTTTAATGTGCTACAAACACAGTTGGCTTTCTTTCCCGGCTCCCTAAATAAACAAGTCATTCTTGATTCAGATTAATGCGAAATCCTCTTTGCTATATATCAAGTTCTTTATTGACCAAGCTTGCCCGATCAAGATGGCTAGATATTAGCCCGGTTCTTTTTTTTATTGCTATTTTGAAAATACAAAAATAGAACTTAGCTAAAAATTCAGCCGTCTTCAGCTGGCTCTTGGTCAATAACGTATATCTATCATACAGCCGGCAGCGCGGGCGGGAATTGTGAAGCGAATCCTATGTTCTGATTGGCAACGCGAGCGGGCAAGATGGGGTCGAGATCGCCCGCCTTGATTCCGTGTAAGACTGAAAAAAATTGCGTGAAGCGGACTTACAAAGTTTGTAATTTGTGGACAATAGCGGCGATGAAGTCACAAAAAAGAGAAACACAAAGAACACAAAGAAAACATTACTAAAAACACAGTGGTTTTTCTTTTCTGGCTCTCGAAATGAACAAGTCATTCTTGATTCTTATTATATCAAATTGTTTTCTTTTGTCATATAATAAATCCTTTATTGACCAAGTTTATTCGGTCGAGAAGGCTGGATATTATCCTCGTTCTTTTTTGCGTTTCTATGGCCCTTCACTTCGTCTCGGTAAAGATGCAAAAAAAGGAACGATCGAGGCTGATATGCAGCCATCTTTATGGAACAAGCTTGGTCAACAGTGCATATTTTCTGATAAAGCGGTGATATCGACAAACAAAATAAAATAAGATCAATGCTGACTAACTAAAGTACTCACAGATGATTACTTACGCGTCTGACTATCTTTTAGTAACTTAGTCAGATTTTCGAAATGTGGATAGGAGACAACCTGGTAAAAGTGCAAAACATTCAGTTAATCGGAAAGATCCTTTTTTTTTTTTTAGTATAAGGCGCACCCATCTATCAATGGTTATTGCTATCTTCAAAATTGTTGAGAAAATGTAGATTGGTCAAAGAGAGAACAAACAAATTGCTCAAAAGGATATTTGAGGTGTGTTGCTACTGAAAGTGAGGTGAACGTTTAGAGACAGACCTTAACAAAATGATACTAAAGTAACAATGTAAATCAGGATCAAGTTGCAACATAAGATCCTTTAAAGCTGATAGAATGTTAACATAGACGATAAACGCTTACTGATACCGGCGTTTTGAAAGCGATTAGAAGCTTTTTACTACGGTTTAAAGGAACTGAAATGCAACAGAAAAGCATCTATAGCATTCATCGGTAACATGAAACAGGACCGACTAAAGGATGCTGTTGGATAATAGGGGAAGGGGGGGTGGCGAGGTGGCGTAGATATTCTCTTTTGTTTTAGGCCCTTACGCGAGTCTTACTAAATTCACTTTTCTCCCGCTTTGCCAAACGGAATAACGGAAAATCCATTAGAGCATAAATCATTTCTAAAATGGGAGCCAAATTTGGCACTAAACCCGGACTCCGCAAAGCAACTCCAAATGTACTCGGTAAGGGATTTCATAATCAAATTGAAGAGGGAATCTATTAAATATGACTTTCATAGGCTCAATTTTACTATTACTTCCTCGTTTATCTCACCATAACGTCCACCCTAGAACCGTTCATAATGCCGTTTGAAGAATTAGTGAAGTTATACAGCATAACAGTCTGAAAATAAAGTGAATATATATCATTAAACTAACCAACAGCTAACGGCTAAGTTATGGTGTCAACCCTTCTAAAACATATGTCACGTATGTCGTAAAAATTGGCCGGGTATGCGCACTTTGTAACGGTGCTTTGATAGCACAAGCAAATTTTTGCGATTAACAAAATTACCTGCAAGTAATTACTTACTCACCCACAGTTTCTTCCCTACTGAGCGTACCCGCTATTTGGAGGGCAATTTGTTATGAGTAAGCGGAGGAATACAGACCAACAAAATTGCGTTCATGTAATCACTCACATTCTTATTCACAACTTCTTACTTGTGCTACATCTCACCTTTGCAACCACTTCGCATTCCACACTTACTTCAGCTTTACCCAGATTATAGACTGCTATTATCTTGTATCCATCACTTTCATCTATCAGCCACAAAATTTACGTAAAATATAAAAAACGAGGATAATGAGGAAAAAAAATTAAAATAAACGGACAAAACTGGCATATCCTCCCCCTCCCCATACAGAGAGGACATTTTGAGATGACTTCCTTCGGTCATGTTCGAATGACTTGTTTAACCCTTTACATACTAATATCAGCATGTATATTCTCCATGCTGTCCTCCATATATATCCTTGGGTGCTGACAAAGAGAATTTGTTTCACAATCAAGAGCTTGTTTAGTTGGTGATCATTTCCTTTACTCTCCTGACCTCGATGTGTGATTCAAGGGTGATATTGTGAGAAGAAATTAGATGCTGGTCACTCTTAAGGGTTAAAGGATTAACGGTGGAGAGCAGCAGAGGTTTGCTATATTAATATGACTAAACTGTCCCGGTGGAAGATAAACTTGTGTTATGACGCAGGGCCGTTCTGATGATCTAACGCACGGCCGCTGGTCACGTAACCTAAGTTAAAACGCTCTATGCTAGGCTTATTGACAGCCACTTTTTTGTCTTACAAAATGAATTAATGAATAACAAAATAAAATAACTCCAGAACACCATTTTCCAAGGCTATAGTGAAAACTTTGATTAATATTCTAGCCTTGATATTAATTACCGATGATCAGAAACTATAGTATTCAATGCGCACGTCAGTGCAAGAGTAAAGCGATCTGATTTTTATCTCATTCTAGGCAGGACACTTGAAATAACTTCGAGACTATAGGTTATGGATTTCGATTTCACATACTTTGCAAGGGTTTCCAAGTTACAGTCCCTTGATATCTTCCTGTGTCCTCTCTTTCGCGGAACACTATCCGTATGCCGTCAGCATTCTTAGCATCAGTTTTATTGCTAGCATTGCGCATGCCAAGCAAGCATTCTAGGCCTTCTTCAAACGTCACAAACAAAAGAAAAGTAATATTTTGTTAGAATGTTTGAACCAGTCTGATAAGGCCGAACTAGATGTATAAAATTATAAACATACAAAAACGTGTAAATAATGTATATGCAAAAAATGTACGTTGTTTTTCATCGGATGTGTTATAACCGTTGGGGAAAGTTGTTTTTTGAGCTCTCTGAATGTAGCCGTCAGAGTTGATGACAACTTCAGCCAGCCACCTTCTTCCCGCACGCGGAAGAAGCTAGGATATGGTACACTGAAACTAATTACAAATAGACCAAGAGCCAGATATACAATAGCATAGCTAAATAAAAAGACAAACAATCGGACGAGAAAACTAAAAAGAAGCAAAATGGAAGCAGTTCTTCAACACTTGGGTTATAAAAAGTATCTCTTATTTAAGCTCACCATTTTTAACGCCAGTACTTTGTTTGTTGGTCGTGTTGTTGGCGTCTGGGAAAAACAAAACAAAACAAAAAACGAAGGAAGGCAAACTCATTATGAGGTACCAATGCTAAAGTATGTTAAAATCAGTTGTTGATGGAGGAAAGTAGGGGAAAACTGACGGAAGGATTGGAGGAATTAGGGATCACATTTTGGTCTCCGATTTTTTTTTTTTTCAAAATGTTTTCTGATCCTAACTAACACCGAGACATATCGGAGTGTCGTTCCCCAGAGCTAAGCAGAAAATGAAAGAGAGGGGTAGGGGGAGAAAGGGAAAGAGACACTACCATAGCATGCTACAATGCTACAGGGTGTTAGTAAGTCCCTCGCAAACACGTGCCAGAGGTAGAGTGATCCTCTTAATGACTTACTGCGTCTGATTCTATTGAAGAGTGACGTCTTTTGGTCATCAACGAAAACTCTCCGTTCACTCTTTACAGACTTTGCATCTCCTATGACAAAAGGAAAAAAATCGAACATATGATAAATTAAGCAGTTTTTGTGCGTCCAGCAACAAGCCAGAAGGCTTATCATTTTATTCTAATATTTATTCAGGGCCATTTTTGAGGGATTCTAAGCGTGTAGGTCTGCTTGTCGTTAAGCGTTTACACGCTCAAAATTGATTTCTTGTTGATTATATTTTTAATTGTTTATCAACTGGAATTAAATTCTTATTTATTTAAATCAGTAGACATTATCTCCCTTGTCGATTAGTTTAGTGTAGACAGGATTCTAGAGTTTAACGAGCTTACCGTCCTCTCGAAGACACTTTACGTAACATGAACGACGCCCAACTATCTGCAAGAAATGACAGGATCGACAACGTAGTTTTCATCAAGAGGTACAGTTGATATATACTCTTATGGTTTTCAAAACATATCTGTGCATACGAGCATTATCTACACCGTTGGCGAATCAAATTCCTAGACCTCTGAAACAGGAACAGAGAAAAATCACTCGCCCTAAAAACGTCCTCGTGTTCTTTCAATATTCTGGCCAGATAATTCACCGGTTATAAACACCGAAAAACCGACAAAAAAAGGCAGCAAAACCGAAAACCCCGTGCAAACCTGACAAATCCGCTACATTTTCACCTTTAAAGGGGTCAAAAAGAACAAACCGAAAACCGCATCAGAGTTTTCGTGAAAACCGAATGCAAAAACACGTAAAATCCGCAAACCGCTCTGAACATCAAAACCGAAAAAACCGGACCTTTTTGGCCCAAAAACCGAAAAACCGATCCAAAAACAGTCAAAACTGCAAAACCGAAAATCCCAAAGCCCCCCTCCTAATAAACCGGTCGTGTTCATCTCTTGATGATATACAAAAGTCTTAAAAGTCTGCTTGTTCAGGTTAGCGCAAAGGAGGATTAGTCAGGTATCCCACAATTCCATGCTTCGAACTATGTTATCAATTCGCTCTAGTCACGTAATCACTCTGTCGAGATGGAGGTAGTTGAGATCAACAGCGAAGTGCTCTCGCGTTCGCGACTAATTTATGTCAACTGCTTGGATTTGGATAGTCAGAGTTACATCAAACTTTCCAATTTGGCTTGTTGTCCGAGACTTCCAGGCTTCTCAATGTGATATTCTTTCGATTTACCCAAACAGCTAGAGGATGAAAGCGAAGATCGAAGACGTCCAGTGATTATAATCTTCGACTTCAATTTCGTCGAAAATCGGTCTCTTGCCGCTTCGGATACTCGACCATATGACGAATACGAACGAGATAACAACATCCCAGAAATGCCCTGGCTAGACTTACAAGTCTTAAATTATAATATTGAAGTTGCTACCCGACGAAAGGAAAAATCGCCGTGAAAAGCCAGTATTCTGAAGAAGAGGCAAGCGACTCGAGTTACCAAAAGAAATAAAGAAAACACTTCCCCAGAAGATACTAACCTTAATTCGGGAGCAAACCTTTACACAGGTGTACTAAAGGGGCATTTAACACAGGTAGTAAAGGCTCTTGATCGATCAAAAGCGGGCTGGGTGATACACCAGTCGAGGAAAGACGTCAAATTTTTGGCGCCAATTCAAACAATTCACAACGGCCACATATTCCTACAAAATTTGGGGACTTAAGGGGACCTTCGCTAATATTGAAAAGTGCCATTATTCAGGCACCACCAGGCGGAATAAAATGCTTAAGTACCCACCAATAATAGCACAACAGTCAAATATCGATCAAGCGTTAGAGTAAAGCGTATAAACAAAGCCACTCAGTCGTGCATACCACTCATAACAAAGGCGTTTTTTTTTCCCATTTAGAGAAGAGCAAGTTCAAGTACTAAACTACTAAAGTCAACTTAACTGTTACAAGAATACATAAAACCGTTCAAATCACCTTCCGTGCTCCTGAATAAGGACAAACAGCCGTTTAAAATTCAGTCGACTTTCTAGTGTGTGCACTCGAATTCGATGCAATGTGACACCTTCTCATCGATAATAACGCGCAAGGGCTAATGGGATACCCGACTGATCCTCCTTTGGTTAGCACACAATTAGAGAATGACAAATTAAGGAGCTAGGGGGTTGGATATGGATCGTGATTTGTCCGGCCAGGACGAGTGGAAACAACTCTCAGATTCAAAATTGTCTTTAAGAGCAATAGCAAGCATTGCTGCATGAATGCGTCCATGCTGATATGATATAATAAAGTTCACTTCAACGTTGTTGCGATTAATGGGTTCCGCAACACCCTGAATGTAAGGAGCAAAGCCATGCGTCCACGCACTTTAGTAACTTCCTTCTGAGTAATACGTTGAAAATTCTTTGAAGTAGAGGAAAATATAATGAATAAAAAGACATGGCCACGGTTTATCGAAGGTGGATAACACAATCCAATGAATAAGGGTTTAAGGATACGGTAGACCTTCGAGGGAAAATTTTTTAAGTTTTGAATGCGAAATTAAGCATTATTATTTTAACTATAGTTTCCAAGAAAAAATTTTGATAAAATATTGAAACGCACGCGAGTTATTTACAAAAACGTATTTCCGAACTGAATTCTTTAGTCCACCGAAGTGTGCATAGCTAATTATAACATGCTAATATAAATGACTCCCGTAGGGTTTCTTGCGGCAAAACAGCCGGGTCCTTGAATTTTAATCGCTTAGATATCTGATTTCGGTTGCACGAGGAAATCATTGCTATCTGCCTGCATTTAAAACTAGAGTGTGAATGGAGAAAGATAAAAATCAGAGGAGTACATAGTTGAAAGTAAAAAAGAAGCCTGGCTATTAGCACAAAAAGTAAAGAAATTCGACGCAGAATGGCGAGAGAATCTCACCGAAACGGATTAAGGCTCGTGGCTTAGGCAATCTTCGTTGTTCGCACGAGATCAGCAACCATTCATTTTTAGTTGCCGTGGCGTGCTTCAGCCGCTTTTTATTAAAAAAAAAAAAGCGTTGAAATCAAAATTGCCGTTTAGCAGCTTTAAACTAGTTAGTTATCAAATAAATGCCATTTTGCTAAGAGTCTGCGGAGACTTCGCTTCTGTGTTCTATTGGCGGTCAGTATTTCGAGTTTTGAGAGTGTTGACATAACTTGACATGTAGTCACCCGAAGGCGTGAATTGTTGGAAGACTTTGAAAGCAAAAGAGACCTACTTCTTTTTTATGCGAATGTGCCTTATTTGAACGAATTAAGGTATGTAAATTTTACGGATTGTCGTGAAAGCCTGAACGTTATTAAGGCATGATATATCATACTTCGTCAACAGCGATATCATTCGAAAAAGGTGTAGTTCAAAAGCATGTCGTTCATAGACCTTTTAACTCACTAAGTTCGGGTTCGTATAATATCCAATGAGTCCATTTCTCTTGTTACATGTATCAAATCATTGGGGTTTAACAATATTGATACTAACAAAGTCTGCACAAGCAAGGACGCTCAAACTTTTACGATTATGTTCTTTTCTTGTTTGTTTGTTTTTTTGTTTTTTTGGGGGGGGAGGGTGGTTTTCTTGTGTTGTTTACTAGCCCTTCACATTCAGTTTTGTTACATTTCGTTTTCTGCACAAGCAAGGACACTCAAACCTTCACATTTATGTTCTTTTGTTTTTTTGCGGGGGAGTGAGAAGGGTGGTTTTCTTGTTTTGTTTACTAGCCTTTTACATTCAATTTTGTTACATTTCGTTTTTATGTATCTTGGTTTTGTTTGTTTGTTTGTTCGTTTCTTTGCGCGCTTATGCGTATGAGTTTTTCTCAGTTTACAAACCACAGCTGTCAAACACTTCTGGTGTCTTGTATCACAGCAAAAGAATATCAGTTGACTCTTTGCCGACTCCTGGCGACATAAGTGTATCGTTCGTTTATTCATGACTGGAAGACAATAAAAAGAAAGGAGTCTGAAGCTAAAACAGTAATGATCATGGCGCCCTAGACTTCCTACAGGTGTGTAAATGGGTGGAGGCGAATTTGAAACGTGGAGTAACCACGTGATGGACTAGTATCCCATCCAGGGGGAAGGGAGAGTAGAAATATTTCGTCGCTTAGGCTGTATGGGCTACTGGCCTGACGCAGACTTTTTAAATTATAATACATGCATCTCCAAGAACAGTACCGGCAATTGTTTATTTTTTTGGGACAATTCGAGAAAAATTTCGTGTCAAATTATTTAATTAAGTTGTGAACTTACCATTGATTTTTAATCATCAATATTCTTATTTGTTTATAAATTTACTTTTATTTGTTTAAAAACATTTTTTTTTTGGTCATTCCGGGTATTCCGGGTATTCCAGGCATTCCGGTTCCGGTTCCGAATTCAGGCGTTCAATATTTTCCAACCTACCGATTTTGATTGTTGTCAGTCTGTTTCGCGTGTGTCTTTTGTCACATGTTGACGTTTGTTAGTTATATCAAGGTAATTTTATACGTGCAGGCTTCTGGAATGTTTTGAATTCGTTATAACGAGGATTGCGTTATATATCGAGGTTCTGTCGCACAGATTTTACTATAACTTTAGCCAGGCTGAAAAGTATCGTTCGTTGTACCGAGGACTTCGTTATATAGTGGTTCGTTAAATCGAGGTTCCACTGTACTTAGTTTTCGTAACAAATCTTTACATCTACAGGCATCATATGAAGCGTTGGTAAATCAGATTCCTAAACCAAGTTGTATGTTTAATTAGGCTTCTTAATTACTCTCGCAAAGAAACTAGCTTGAAATTGCTAAAAGAGAGAAAAATTACCCCCTGTAGAATTCGTCGTTTTGTCCAATATTTAATCCAGATCATTCCCATTCACTTTTTAACCACTGAAAAGATAGGTGCTGATGCCAATAAATGCTGGTTAAGACTAGCGCATAATCGAACAATGGCAAATTGTGGAGTTAGGAGGTTGAATATGAAATAAAGCATTTTATGGCCATTGCCAAATGTCAAGGGCAACAAAAAAGAACCATCAGATGTAAAACTGTCATTAAAAGCAATGGCTATCATTGTTTTAAGTGTACACCCAGTTTAGTACGTTCATTTTTAGTACTTTTATGGAAAGTTCTTTGAGAGGAAAAAAGGAAAGACAGGAAAATATAACGAATGAAAAGAAATGGCCACGGATGTGGGAAGGGTGAAAAGTAACGCTATCCAATGGATAGATTTATATCAGATGTAGAGCGCAGTACGTTATAAACACCAAACACCTGCATATCGATTTATCCGTTAGACAGCGTTATCCGCCCATTTAACGACCGGTGTTAAAAAGACTGATTACAAACAAACTGGCGGAAGTTGTTCAAGAACATTAACTTCTAACAAAGACAATTACGTAACGACTTTTGTTGTTGTTGTCGCATAACGTATGCAACCTGGAGATACTTTGTCGAATAATATTGTACGCATAGTTATATAGTTTAACAGCAGAGTGTTTTAGAGAATCTTTCCCGAGGATCTCGAGATTAGTTTTATGCTAGAGACGTCCTGAAGAATCTCGATATTAGTTTATTTAATTGGTGTTCTGTCCGACCAACCGAGTCGAGTTGTTTTCCTTTTATAAGCCGAGTTGACGTCTTAACCTAAGAGCACAGAAGTATGGGAAAATGTTGAAATACAGGAAACACAGCCTCAATGATACCAAGGCAAATCATGATGACGTAACAAAAATCTGGAAATATCATTTCAGGTGGTGAAATCGTTTACATATGATCTCTATTGGAGGTAAGTTTACCATTTGGCTATATCATTCATGGAGTGAAAGAAAATAATACACGCCGATAAGTTGACCTAATGACTCAGCACTGGCCGCGCCATTTATTAAGTCAAGCTATTGTCACGCGTTACGTACCTTTCTTTAACGCTTTGATTGACAGTTTTGTTTACGTCATCGTAATCAGATATTCTTAGAAAAGAGCACACGTGTCTCTACTTCTACCGAGACTGCACACAATTAAAATCTCTCTTCATCGAAAGCTTGTGTTTCATCATCTCTAACGCGATCATCCAAGCGCGATTATAAATTTTAACTCTTTGCCGACTTCTGGCGACGTTAAAGGATCGTTTATTCATGATTGTGTTGCAATTCGAAAGAAAGGAGTCTGAAACTAAAACAGCAACGTGATTCTGCAGAAACCGAAATATCTCCAAAGTGAAATATCCAAGGAAAAATGATGAGGAAACGGAGGAAAAAAAGGAAACAAGCTAAACAAAAGCACGAAAAGAATGTTAAAAATAGCAGAAAAACAAAGAAGATAATCACTACATAATGACCGCAGTGCCACCTAACAATCATTAATTCATGTCTTTTCTAGCGTTTCCTTTGTTTTTCGTTGTCATCAGGAATCATTATATAAACAGCCGAGATAAACTTTCCTTATAATGACGAAAGAAATGGCGACATACATGTGCTGCATGCTCGCTGCTTCGCGAATTGGGGGGACTTCCTATCGAGTCATCGCGTTCGCCACCTCGAATAAGGTAGCGCATTAATGGCTAAAGTGTCCAGCTTTAAACAGACCCTAAGCATAAGAATAAAAATTAGTTTTGAATTTTTGGCATTTAAAGCGCAATACGGTAAACATCGTTGGGTGCGCCATTGAGTTCACCTTTATGGATCGTTGCCAGAGCTTGGTTGTTCCTTCAAGATCCCACCTCAGCTGTATGAAAGTGTCCATCGTTTACGGTTTTAAAGGATCCGATCGAGCTAATTACTGACACTTTTGAACACGTGTGCATTTGTTATTAATTGACATTGGTGACTGAAGAAAAGTGACGGTAAACAGCTCTGAGGCCTTACAACAGTCAGCTTTTATAACCGTAACGGTGGCCAATTTACCATTTCAACTTTGTTGATATATTCAAATTATTTGTTAAAGAGCCGATTTGAGCCTAGTCAACTGGACAATTCGAATAACTCCAATATATCGCCTTACAACTTGAAACTTTGTCACTTAAGTAACCCCATCACGAATATTTTGAAGTGAAAATGGGAGCAAGCCTGTCTGGAAACGTTGGGAACAATACGGCCTTTTTATATCACATGCGACTGATAGGAAAACTCAAATATTGCGCAATATTCACCTTGGCAGTCGGGATTTGATTTTAGACAGAATAAATTTATGACCGAAATCTTAGCTGGATCTGTGCAGCCAAGCTAAAGTTTCCACGACAAAATTCGTATCGTTAACTACTCTAACGTGATTAGAAGTATTATCCTGTGAAAAGAGTCTATGCAAAGAAATAAGGATTACTATTCGAATTTCTGGCGACGATTGTGTATTAACTTTAATAATAAAATTAAAAAAATCATTTACATATGCAGTCAAAGTAAAATGTTTAACTGCAAAGGTTCTGCATGTAAATCGCTGCAGGTACAAAAAAAACATGGGTTCGTACCTCATTACTCGATATTCCCCTGTCATCCGCTTGAAAGCTAAAGTCACATCTCCTGAAACAGAGTTCCTTGTGTTCCGATAACTTTGAATCATTAAGAATCCCGTGAGTGCCTCGACATTGCGCACGCAAGAACAAAATATTGCCCCAGAAAAAGATGATGATAGGATGGAGGGATTTGTTCATTATTTATCTCGGCGCTTAATTTGAATTCAAGGTTATATTCACTGAAAGAGCTTCCAGATTGTAATGTCGTCTTGCGCACGCGATGGTCTCCAAATCAAGCATAACAGGATGTATAAGGTCACACTACACCACTCCCCCACGTAGAAATCGAATGAAAAGAAATCTAATACAATAAAAAATACCTTGCATGCCATGAAGTAATATGCTAAAAATCTGCCCTCGAGCCTATTTTTCGTTAAAAGTTTCATGAATCTTAGACGCATTCTTGAGTTATTTTTTCTCTGGGTATCTTTGTGTCCCCAATCGTGGCCTGAGAACACTTTCCTATTGAAACTCACGCGTCCACAAAGTGAAGCACAGGGGTGAAACTGGTATTCCAACCTAAACATGCCTTAGGCTTACCGTAAACGTAGCAAGAAAGAATATTGTTAATAAGGTATAAATAAAGAAAGAATGAAAGTGAAGAAATATGAAGAAGGCGAAAGAATTGTGCCACCGCAAATATCCGGCTTGACATAGTTACATAACACGATCGTGTGGACGTCATCTAACGACTAAACACCTATCGACCAAAAATCTAAACAAAATATTAATCCTTTGACAGACGGGAAGTTATTTGGGTGATGGAATTTAAAGAGATGATTACGGAACACAGGGAGGCCTAAATAAGGATATGTTCTATTGTAGCAAAGCTAGGATACGTGACAGTGTAAATTATGAGGCATTTATCTTTACCCTTTCCTTTACCTAAAATTAAAAAGGGATCTTGACATAGATTAAAGGATCGGGGTACGCTAGATCACTATTAAATTACTGATATATCTCAGAAATCGCGACCGTGTCTTCAAATGATATTGAACCTTAAGCCTTGGTCAAACGGCGCATGATAGTCGATGAAAGTTGATTCTCTTCAAACTATCACCAACTATCACCAACTATCATTCGCATGGTCAAACGGCCAAAAAAGCTCGTGATAGTTGATGATAGTTCACCGGCACTCGCGCGAGCAAAGTCACGAGAGCAGCTAGTTCCAGGCTCTTTCCGCGTAAAATGTGAACACTAACATGGCTTCGCGTGAGACAAACAAACTTGTTGAAGTATGAATTTACGACGAAAGAGGGCGGCAGCTTGCCTACTAGTGGCCGATTTGTTGGAGGAATGTACGTCTGTTAGACGTAATATGAGGTCATTACTCCATCTCGCCGTTGAACGTTTAGTGAAACGCTGTTTTTTCGGCGGTGTCTCCTCGAATTCCTGCGAGTTGACGCTTTCTCCAGATTCTTGGTTTTCAATATTTTCTTTCTCATTGTTATTATCTTGGGTATGAAAAGGAATTTCTGAAGCTAAAACTGAGCCTCGCGAGGAGCCTTTGGCGACCATTTTAAACGAGCCCGCCGATTTTCGGGGAAAACAGCTGACCAAAAACTATCATGAATTATAGTTCACCACTAAATTTACTCCGGTTCTTATTGGTTTAAATCGATCATTTCCTCGACAGAAAAGATACTCTATTGTTTAACTATCGTACGCTTGGTCAAACGAGAAAAACTATCATCGACTATCATGAAGAATTTGAACAAGCTCAAAATGAATGATAGTTGGTGATAGTCGATGATAGTGTATGATAGTTGGTGGTCAAACGGAAGCGTGCGCTTCAGCTATCATCGACTATCATCAACTATCATCGACTATCATGCGCCGTTTGACCAGGGCTTTAGGTAACTTGATATACTTATTCTTTTCGCTCGATAATAGGTAATGGTTGTTGCGATTAAATCATTTAAACATGTGGTAGATTGTAAACCAATGACAGATTTATTTTGAAGTCTTTTGCACTTATTTACATGAAACTCTAGCAAAACACATTTTAATGCACGACTATGCATAACTAGATTCTACTAGAGTTTGTTTCCTGAGGCTGTGTTACTTCTACGCTAAAGATCCCTTCACCGCGATCGGGTAAAGATGCGATGTAAATACAATACTAAGACCCGTGGTTTACATGAAATCGTTTTGAAGCTTTACTGACTAAGCCTTGCAAAAAATTTTTTGTCGGCTCTAAGAATAACTGAAAAGAAACCAAGAGAGGCACTTAGATCTGTCTCGTTCAAAATTATTCGCAATATCCGGTAATATTAAATTTCCATATCATTAGAGTACTTACGGTAGTTTGGAAAATAAGGAATACCGGAATTCGGAACCGCAACCGGAATAATTGGAATACCCGGAATACCTGGAATTCCCGGAATGACCGAAAAATAATAAATTTTAAAAAAAATAAAAGCAAATTAATAGATAAATAGGAATATTGATGATTGAAAATTTATGGTAAATTCACAACTTAATTAAAAAATTTAATACGAAACTTTTCACTGAGGGTCACAAAAAAAGAAAACGCTTACCGGCACTGTTCATGGAGATGCACGTATTAGAATTAAAAAAAGTCTGCGTCAGGCCATTAGCCCATACAGCCTAAGCGACGAAATATTTGTACTCTCCCCTCCCCCTGGATGGGATGCTAATCGATCACATGGTTTCTCCCCGTTTTAAATTCGCCTCCACTCATTTACATGATCGTTCACTGGCCCGCTACCACCCACATACCTCGGAGGTAACAACTTAGAATGGGTTACACATAGTCGACTTCTGGGTGTGACCATCGATCATAAGCTTGGCTGGTCCACTCATATAAAGGAACTGAAGAAGAGTTTTNTCAGAATGGCTGGCAAATATAGATCCACGTTTATTAGATGAATCGAACAAAGAAAAACAGCTTGACGAACAGAAAATTTCTTCATTTAATGATGAAAATAGAAACAGCAACACAACACGCCAATTCCGTTCCGCTTCGCATACTTCTGTCACGCACTCCTCGTAAATAAATATCCGCGAAATTCGCCCGCACTGAAATAAAGTTTGGCGTGTTGGATAATAAATAACTTATTAGACGTTTTGTTGAGTAGTATCGCTGAGTATTTTTACTCGTTATTTGTATTTTGACTCGCTCTACGGGCTCGTCAAAATACGGCACAACTCTTAAAAATACTCAGCGATACTACACAACAAAACGTCTAGTAAGATAAATTTAGTTTAATAGTTAAATTGTAAAAAGCTCCGAACTATTACAAATTAATACTCTACCTTAAATAATTATTAACCACACATTGGAAGCTATCAAAGCAGCCACCACTAAGACTAGCCGTCTACAGTTAAAATTAAGAGATCGTCAGTTACTCGACACCTTTTCGCGTTTATTATAAATACTTTGAATATATAACTTTGAATATAAACCTTGTTTAGAAGAATCCATCAGTACAGTAATTATTTGAGGTAGCGTATTAATGTTTAACAGTTCGGAGTTTTTTACAATGGAATTATTAAACTAATTGGAAATATTGCATTTGTTTAATCTTCTGCAATGGTTCTGGTTGGAAAATCGTGGCGGCCTAATAGTCCTGGCGCCGTAGACATCCTACAGGTGTGTAAATGGGTGGAGGCGAATTCAAAACGGGGAGTAGCCATGTGATGGACTAGCATCCTATTGAGGGGGATGTGAGAGTACAAATATCTCGTCGCTTAGGCTGTATGGGCTACTGGCCTGACGCGGACTTTTTTTAATTCTAATACGTGTATCTGCATGAACACTGCCGGTAAGTGTGTTTTTTTTAGGACCTTTCCGAGAAAAATTTAATTCGTATTAAATTATTTAATTGAGTTGTGAACTCAACATTTATTTTCAATCATCAATACTATTTTTCGGTAATTCTGGGAATTCCGGGTATTCCGATTCCGGTTCCGGTTCCAAATTCTAGCATTTTATATTTTCCAAACTACCAGTACTTAATGAAAAACACGCACGTACTAGTTTCACCTATAAGCTGATTATCTTTCAAAAACAAAGTAATGAGCACAACCTGAAAAAAGGAGTTTTCTTACTAGTTTGTGAACGAGATGATAAGTATAATGCATGGCAGAGGGCCTCGAGGGGGTTTAACCGTCAGCTGTCAAAGGGCCTGAAATTTAACCGTCAGCCGTCAAAAAGGGTACGTTTTCACCGTCGACCGCGAAAAAATGGCTCAAAATTAACCGTCAGACGCTTTAAAGGTGTTACGGACCTCGTTAAGAGAGAGTTTCAGATTCATGTTTGAAGTGTTAACCGCAAACGTGAAACCGCCATTAGCAGTTTGACGTTTCAAACAGAGTAAAGAGAAATGCTTAGTTTCAGCTCTTAGATCGACGTCACCTTTCACCTGAAAAAAAAAATCATCGTGTGTGCTGTCATCTTGAATTACACGAAAGATGGAAGTCCTTCCATGTTTTCAAACACAAAATGTGGCAAAATGTTTGGTTTTCTAACGTCCCAAACGGATTTTTAAAAGAAAAGACTCCTCTCACATATATATACAGGACATCTGTGGGAACCTACGGACAGGAAGAAGAAAGGCGCCGCCTGGTTCTAATTAGCTCAAGTGGTGGAGTGCTAGACTGCCGTGCGGGAGGTCGATGGTTTAAGCCCTGGACCGGACCGACACTCAGGGTCTTAAAATAAATGAGGAGAATGTGTTACCTTTCTATCATATCAAGAAATGGATAGATTCTAAGATAAAGACGAAAAACCGTAGCCCCGTCTCGTGCATCTTCTAGTTGTAATTGTAAACACTACTGGTTAATGGAGCTTTCACTCTATCGTCATAATTATTTTAATCGTTTTTCGACTTACTTCTCCTGCATCAACATTTCTGCGCTCGACTGCGGCGTTTATTTAATGTTTTAGTCGTGCGATAGCGAAACTGCCACGTTAACACTGGACTTTACTTCTTATTGAAAATATCGCGTTTACGATCCTCCATTGTCGAGTTACCAGTCTTGCAGAGGTTATGTGTGCCTTTTTAGTCGAATTGTGCACTATCAGTTTTCCTTTGTGTATACGTCCAGTGTGTAATTACCAGATTTATCCATCTCTCTTTTGTCATTGATGTTCTCAGACGAGAT